AGAGTGGCCAGAGATCAGCTCTAACTGCAGCTTTGCTCTGATTGGTTGGCATTTATCTTAAAGATAAACTGCAATCAGGACGTTGGACCACATTCAGGGCCAAGCAAAAAGCAAAGGAGGCAGTAATATTTCCAACTGTCTGACATACAGTGAATGCAGCATCATTTAGAGTTGAAACTAAGATGAGATAGGGATAAAAAAACAACTAAGTTGTGTGTTTTTTAAGCTTGAGGTGACGTTAGAAAGCAAAACATGCTCTGAAGCAAAGCGGACGGCTATTTTTCCAGAATATTCTGCCTTTTAAAGAGAGTTTTAGAGGAGGTCCAGCAGATGAAGCTGGGGAATATAGGGATGTTCCTATCCAGCTTTTTTCACTTCCAATCTGATAACGATCCCGGCCTATCAGAGCATGTATTAAAGTTTAAAGTTATTTATCTACTTATTTAGTTGTCAGACTCATGTTGAACAGGGATTTACTCTGATAACAACTTAATGGTTAGGACACAGACCTGTGGGTTAGGAGATGCTAATGCTAATGCTAATGCTTAAGTATGTGCTGGAAAATGACCGGATATTAAGGCAAAGTGGAATGGATTATTTTAATCAGTGTGCTGGAAAACACAGATATTTTATAACTGGATCTGGAGTCTGGATCTGCATTTTCTCCTGATGGCCGGTACGCATTTTTTTCGTGAATATCTGAGCAGCGTTGGGGTTCCTACCTATCGTGTCGGCTTTGCTGAAGCGGCGGGTGACCACGTTGTCCATGTTGCTGTCCTCGCAGAGCTTCAGCTCCGTCAGGTACACCTCCACCTTGCAGTGCTTCACGAACATGCCCTGTTCCACCACCTGCCGCAGAGCAAAAGCCACAGCTCAGACTGGAGCCGGACCATCCAGGGAAACAAAAACAACCCAAACATGCCCTGTTCCACAGCCCCACAACTACCCCAAAACAACAACAATAAAAACCGCAAAACAACCCAAAACATGCCCTGTTCCACCACAAAAAAACAACCGAAACATGCCCTGTTCCACAACTCAACAACTACCCAAAAACAACCCAAAATGTTCCCGGTTCCATCACCCAACAACTACCCAAAAACAACAACAACAAA